TATACATCTTTCCATGCTCTGTTTTTCTTCCATCTAGGAACTCCCAGTACATGTCTGTCCTTCTGTCCATCCCCTCCTTTCCTTCCCTCGCCCAATCATCTGTCTAGCCCAGGGAAAGTTTGGAAAGCAGGATGCTGGACCAATCCAGTAAGGTTATTTTCCCTGGTGAGAACTGTGTCCTGGATGTGCTCAGAAAACCTTTCTGTTTCCTGGCTTTAGGTCCTAGTACTTGTGATTGGAGCTTTTCAGCAGGTGGCTATATTTTCTACAGCTGATTCATTTAAGTTGTGGAGATGGATGGAGAAGAAGAACTCTTTCATTGCATTCACCCTGAGAGAGTACAGTGTAGCCCACATGGCTAATCCAGCATCAGGCCCCTACTTATTAGTGAAATTTCTAGTTTCTTTTTAACAAGAGAAAGGCATTTGTTGTACTCTATGCAATGATATACCTCACCGTCTGCATCCATCTTTTTAAAAGCCTAGATTTGCCCATGCTCACTGGAATATGGATGACTACAACCATTGATCAGGCTACATCAAAATGATACAGAGGCCTGATTTTTTCCCTCCATTTCTTGGGGAATGATCTGTCAAGGTCCCTTCCGACCTGACCAACTATGAAACTATGAAACTATGCTGCATTCCTCCATACCTATGAACACCTACCAGTCTTGGCTCCTCCCCTCCACCAGCACCCAGCAGCAGTTGAGTTCATAGACCCATCCCACCCCACACCTTCTCCACACTTGCCCCGGCCAGAGCAGACCAGCTCTGGACCAGCTGAACCTGTGCACACAGCCCTGACCCCAACACCCACCATGCCTGCTCCAGACTTATCCCCCCATGCAGAGCAGCTGCAGCAGCAGTGTCCACGGGACAGAAGGTGCTGCTTGGTACAGGGGAAAAGCAGCTCCTCGCCTTCACTGCTGCTGGACCCTCCTTGCTACAGCCACCAGGAGCCTGCACCCAGGCTGCCCTGTGACTCCTCTCTACTTCCACTACTGCCCTGCTAAGCATCCTGGAAATGGCAGTGATGATGGTGGAGAGGATACACAGGGCAGCCCAGGTGCAGGCTCCAGACAGCTGCAGGAAGAAGAGGCCAGCAATGGTGTGGAGGAGGTGGTTGCTTTTCCCTCACTCCCAGCAGCAGCTTCTGCCTGGCCACTGCAGCTGATCCATGTGGGTGGGCAGTCTGGAGCAGATGCGGGGCAGGCTGGGATCAGGGCTGTGCATGCAGGTTCTGGCTGGTCTGGAGCTGGTCACTCCAGCTGAGGAAGGTCCAGAGCGGGTGTGGGATGGGCCGGGGATGGGACTGTGCACACAGATCCCTGGCAGTACAATGGGGCTGGGACCAGTGGTGGCAGCAGCTGGAAGGAGCTGCCACCACCTGGGATGCTTAGAAATGGAGTTCAGTTGTGGAGCTGCCTCAGCCCCACTGCATGCCTGGAGGTGGCAGGACACACAATGTGCCAGATGGCGCCTGAGCCAGGAGGGACAGAGGGATTCAACATAGGTTGGCCACTATCCCGCCGCAAGCTGGATCCAGCCCATTGCCTGTACTTTGCCTACCTCTGATGTAGCCCAACCCCCTTCTCAAAGCAGGACCATCCCCAACTATCTCATCCCAGCCAAGGCTTTGTCTACCCAGGTCTTCAAAACCTTGAGGTAGAGCTGTGTGAAGCTTTGTTCCCTGATTCGATTCAGTGGAGATTTGGCCTGGTTTTTTTGGCCAAATCTCTGAATCCAAATCAAAACAGAGGACCCTTTAATCTCTCCAAATTGAATCAGAGCCCTCCGAATCGATTCGGAAAGATTTGACGATTCAAACATAGACACAGCTTTAAATGTTTTCTCTACATAGCTCTAGGTAGCAGGCGCCCATGATCACTGCAATGCTGGGGCACATGGAGTGTCCTACAGAAGGGTGGGGAGCTCCCCAGCACACTTGGCAGCAGACACAGAAGTAGACCAGAAGCACTTCCAGTCCACTTCTGGGTCAGTTGGGGAGCGCGCTGCGCCCCCCTGGCTCTGCGATTGGTGTCTCCTGGGTCTGAGGAGAGCACCTGGGGTCCCCCCCACAGCCAATCACTGAGCCAGAGGGGTGCGGGGGGTCCCCCAATGAGCTCCCTGGCAGACCTGTAAGTGGACCGGAAATACTGGCAGACCTGGAAGTGGACCGGGAGGCTCCTGGTCTCCATGGTAAGAGGGTTGCAAATTCCTGAGGGGAGGGGGAACTTGCTTGTCCTCTGTCCTGTGTAACCCTAAACTCTCACCTGAGGGTGGTGGCTTTTTTAAACTGCCCAACCAGTGTCAGCCGAGGTCTGAGAATACTGGTGTATGGTTGGTCCAAGGGATGAGGTCAGAATGGTTATTTAAGAACCCCTTCTTCCAGGAAGAAGGGGAGCCATATTGGGGCACATGGAAAAAGCACACAGCCTCTGGAACTCTTCCAGGCTCCAGATGCACATGGTGCTAAAGTGAGTAAGCTGCTGGAAACTTATCTAAATATCTAGCTTGCTGCAATATAGAAGTATTTTCAAACAACTACTACGCTGGCACAGTTTTCTCTCTGTTATTCTTTGATACTTCTCTAACCTGTACCCTTCCCTAAGCCTACCCGCTTTAACCAATAACGCTTTCCGGTATAACATGCTTTGTGGTAAATGCATTGAGAGGGTTTGGGGTACACCTTTCTATTCCCTTGGGTTGGCTGATTAAGGGAGGCTAGCACCCTCAAGGTCTACCAGGCTTCTGTACCTCAGGGAACACAGGGTCCAGATAACATTCATACCCCTGGGTGGTGGCAGCGGTTACCCCTGGTAGGTGGTTGGGTGCAGTAAGATGGGTGGCTCAGTGCAGGAGCACCCTCTACTGACCTGCCACACTCTCTGCTAGACTTTTTTTTAATTTGTCCACATTGTTCTGTAGTGGGGGCCCAGAGCTGGACACAGGTCTCCAGATGTGGCCTCACCAGTGCCAAATAGAGTGGAAGAATCACTTCCCTGGATCCCCTGGCAGTGCTCCTACCAATGCAACCCAGTATGCCAGTAGCCTTCTTGGCAACAAGGACACACTGTTGCCTCACATTCAGCTTATTGTCCAATGTAACTTCCAGGTCTTTTTCTGCAGAGCTGCTGCCCAGCCAGCCTGTCCCCAGCCTGTACCGGTGCCTGGGATTGTTCTGTTGTTAGTGCTGGATTTTGAACTTGTCTTTATTGAACCTCATGAGATTTCTTCTGGTCCAATCCTCAGATTTGTCAAGGTCCTTCTGAATCCTAGCCCTACTACTTCCCCCAGCTTGGTGTCATCTGCAGGAAGAAAGAATCTGAACACCATAATGAGCAATGAAGTCAATGGACTCCATCACTGCTTCCTAACTAGAAATGCTGCTACCACTGCCAAGCAGTTTGTTTAAGCTTTGGGTGGAGCAGGAATCAAAGTGGGGTAAAAGTACATTAGTGCCTCCCATCCTCCCCAAAGCTGGATGTGTCCCTGCCAGCGACGCCTTCAATGGATACTTCCTTGGTGAAGGTTACCTCTTCACATCCTTCTAACATAGCTGGAAAAACTGAACTTCATTAGTTTCTTGCTTCACAGATGCCTCCAGCATCAGATTGTTCTAGAAGCTCTTTCTCAGACTCGTTGAACACACCCACATCCACTTCAAAACACAGCCCTTGGACCCGTATGGGGGTGTGAGAATGACCTGGTAGATGCCATGGTCTGAGTGGTGGTTATCCTAACATTAACTTGTGCCATTTCAGAACTGGAAGTTTAACTCCACAGTCTCCCAGGAGATGCAGAACTTAAGTTAGATCCAGCCTCCCATCACCTTAACTCTGCCCCTCTCAGCTTGTATCAGGCATTGTATAAACCAGGCTCCTTTCATATTGGCTTGAGCCAAGGGGAAAACAAATTAAAGCTAAAACAGTGTGACCTGATCTCTCCCCATCTGAATTCCAAGTCTCCAAAGAGGTCAGAATAGAGCAGCTGAACTAGTTTACCAAGTCCAGTGGAAAATGTATTTGCAGACACCTCCCCAAGAGGGGTGTCCAAGTACACCACCATTGCCTACTGTGGTGGATGCCTTCTAACAGTTTGGGACAGAAAGGGAAGCAGCGACCACCCTTCTAGGAGGAGCAGAGCTCCAGCAAAAGGTAAACCAAGGTTTGGTAGGGAGTGTAAGGTCAGGGGCAAGCATGGGGTGCAAGAAGTGGGAGACAGGCTGCAGGGGAGACAGGGTGGGAGGAGCAGGTACAGGTATGGGGGACAAGAAGCAGAGAGGTGGGGGATAGGCAGCAGGGACAATCAAGCCACAAAGGGGAAGGAATGTGGGGATAGGGATTGGGGGGAAGACATAGAGAGACAAGAGATAGCAGAACAAGGAATGGAGGTCTCACCCCATTGCCCCCTACCAGAGTCATGGGGATGAAATTTAAGGCAACCTTTCCTTAATTAGATTCTCAACATACCTAATTATAGGAATATCCCTTCCAGCCAGGGCTTGGAATATCCCTTCCAGCCATTGTTCCAGGGCTGGAACAATGTATACGTTTCTATGTATAGAAACTACTTATCAGGTGGTCATCTTAAATTGGAGGTAGTCTTGGATTTGAGTAAATCTTGTAGATCATGGTGGGGTTTTGGCAACACCTCCAGAACTAGACACTGGAAATTGCTGTAGCTACAAGGTGGGCTTCGTTCTTTGGCTCTAATGAGCAGTATTAGCTCTCCCTGAGCACCAGTGTTGTGCTCCTTGCCACCCTCTGCCAACCTCACAAGCTGTTGGTCACCCATGATTTTAATGACATTTTTAGGATAAAGAAAAGAACAGAGATTGAACATCAGAGGTGGCTTTTATTATTCATATATGGACATGAGAGACTTACAGAGAAACTCCTGTGGGGAGATCACCATTGCCCCCAGCGGATGTTTCTGACCTCAAGCCCCATCTTCTTGTATTCCAAGGTCTCCACTTTACAAGCAGGTACAACTACTTCAGAGGGGACGTATCTGGATTGACGCATACTCTGTGCATTTCCCAGGGTGTGTCTGGACTGAGGCATACTCCACAGGCTTCTGTGGTGTTAGATTGATCTCAGCATAGTGCAAAACTTCATCAGTCTCACCACCAGCTTGGCTGTACCTCTGTTGGGGAGACAGATAGAATTATCAGGGATGCATCTCCTGACTTCCAAGGGGAGATTTAAAATTGAAAATCCAAGTGTGAAAGGTGGCTGGGGGGGCAGGAGGGAGGCCAAATAGAATAATGGAAACTACGTCCTAGGTGTATACATGAAATTGAGCATCTTCCCCAGAGATCGTCCCATGATAATTGCATGTGGGAGAATTAGTAATTGTCCAGAGGAGGGCAAACAAAATGATCATGGGCCTGGAGCCATTGCCATACTCAGAACACACTAAAAAGCCTACAGGTCTTCCATTTGGAAAGTAGAAGGCTAAAGTGGGATATAGAATAGTTGTCTGTACCATCATGAAGCGTGTGGCCCAAGTGACCAGGGAACTGTTGTTCACCGAGTCCCAGATATACTAGAAGACTGAGAGGGGACTGAATCGCAGCCTTCAACTCCCTGCACGGTGGTTCAAAAAAGAATAGAACTGGACTGTTCTCAGTGGGGGCAGGTGACAGGACAAGGAGCAATGGGCTCAAGTTGTAACAAGGGAGGTTTAGGTTGGATATCAGGAAAAACTCTCACTATTAAAGCACTGGAACAGGTGAACCAGAGAGGTTGTAGAATCTCTGTCCCTTGAGGTTTTTAAGATCTGCCTCACCAGAGGCATGGCTGGGATGAAATAACTGGGAGAGGATCTAGGACTGGCCCTGCTTTGAGCAGGGGTTTGGATGAAATGACCTTTGAAGTGATTTTGTGTATGATTGCATGCCTTTGTGGATCAATCTCATCTTCCTGATTCCTTGTAATCTCTCTCCACTCCACAGGTGAGAACAACCATCTCTCCTTTTGAAGGGTCTTGATATTCCATTATTCAAACTATCCTTGCTTCTTCAACATTGCTTTCTGTCAGCCTTTCCTGGAATGTCTCTCTTCTATTTCACATTCCTGAAGACTGTTTTAACTCTAAGTAGAAATCTTAACTCATGGGAGTTCATATTAACTTAGGTGTGGAAATGTCATAGATTTCATAGATTTCATGTACATTTGGGCTGGAAGGGACCTCGGAAGATCATCAAGGCCAGCCCCCTGCCCCAGGGGCAGGAAGTCAGCTGGGGTCATAGGATCCCAGCAAGATAAACATCCAAATGTCTTTTGAAGGTGTTCAGAGTAGGTACTTGAACCACCTCCGGCAGCAGGCTATTCCAAACCTTGGGAACTCGGACAATAAAGAAGTTCTTTCTTATGTCCAGCCTGAAATGGTCATGGAGGAGTTTGTGACCTTTCAACCTTGTCATCCCTTGGGGCGCTCTGGTGAACAGACGTTACCCCAGATCCTGGTGACCACCCCGATAAACTTATAGGTGGCCACCAGATCACCCCTGAGCCTGCGCTTTTCCAGGCTGAAGAGTCCCATGGCTCTCAGCCTCTCTTCATAAGGTCTACTTTCCTGACCTCTGATCGCATGCGTGGCTCTCCTCTGTACCCTCTCAAGCTTCTCCACATCCTTTTTGAATTGTGGAGCCCAAAACTGGAGTCGGTACTCCAGCTGCGGCCTTATGAAGGCCGAGTACAATGGGAGGATGATGTCCTGGGATTTACTTGAGAAGCATCTGTGGATGCAAGCAAGCAGCAGTATCACATTGCAGGCTCATGTTCATCTTGTGGTCAATCATGACCCCCAAGTCCCTTTCATCCCTAGTGCTAGCCACTGTAGCACTGCCGAGCCTATAAGGATGCTGCAGGTTTTTCTTCCCAAGGTGGAGAACCTTGCATTTTTTGGTGTTAAACACCATCAGGTTCTTGTCCGCCCATTTCCTGAGCCTGTCAAGGTCAGCCTGGATCACCCTCCTGTCCACAGGTGTGGACGCTTTACTTCAGAATTTGGTGTCATCAGCAAAGTTGGTCAGTCCACTTCTGATACCAATGTCCACATCATTAATGAAGATGTTAAATAGTATAGGCCCAAGGACAGAGCCTTGGGGGACCCCACTGGTCACAGGACACCACGATTTACTTTTGTCAACCACCACCCTCTGGGTCCAGCCACGGAGCCACTTGCGCAGCCAATGGATCGTTGTGTGTGCCAAGGCTGCAGGTAGCCAGTTTTACTAAGAGGTGATCAAATGCCTGAGTGTGGTGTATTTGAGGCACTATCAAGACTCTCAAAAAGGCTTTATTTTGCTTTGTGAATCAGAATGAGACATACATTTAACTATCATGACTATGGGAGTAATAATGCCATATCTTTGGACCATCTTGAATATTACCTTCCTAATTCATTGCACTTTTATTTAAGCCTATGAGGAAGCTACATGTGAGACTCCGTGGGCAAGGGGATTAAGGAGATTGTGGCCCAGTCTAAGGCAAGGGATTGAGGCCCAGTTTGGGGGAGTGAGGACACCAAGAGGGTCCTGAGCCAGGCAGGGAGTCCGAGGAAAAGGTAGGGGCTGGGAGCCTGGGCGGGGCGGCGTGGAGGTGGATTATGAGTCCCAGCATGAGGGCATAGGGATCAAGAGTCCCAACATGAGTCACAGAGACTGTGAACCAGTGTGAGGCAGTGGAGTAATATGGATGCCATCTGTGAGACATGGGACATAGTATAGGCAAGGTCGGAACCATGTATACAAGCACTTAGCATCCGGGCAATTAAATGGGAAGCCTGCCACCTTGTTATCATCTTTCAATTGTATCATCAAAGGCACGGCAGGAAAGGTAGGCGGGTGGTTAGCCCTGAGACAAGTGGACAGGCAAATGATTTGACTGGCCTCGAGACATCCACTTGTTACACTCTCCCACTTGCAGTCTCCACAATTTATAGGGCTAGGAAGTTCTAATTCAAAAGCTTTGCCCCTAACTTTCAAGATCAATATTTAGTGACACCCCTTTCCTCCAAGAATGGGTCCAATCTTTTTATGGATCAGGCTAAGCTGTCAGTGTCCCCATCTGGTAGCAATGAGTTCCATGCTTTAATTACACACTAGGTGAAAAAACTTCCTTTTGTTCATGTTAAACCTGTTCCCTACATGAGTGTTGTCTTCTATGTGATGATGACCTATGCCATCTGTACCCCATGCCTTCAACATCCTAGATCCACCCATGTTCACATCTCACCTCTCTCCAGAAATGACCACTGTACCCTCATTCAGTATGAGGCTGCAGCATGACAGTCTTACCTTTGAGGGCTGTTGCTGTCGGGTCTTCGTGATGGTTTCTGGTAAAGAAGGGAGCAAGGCAGGAGTTACTAGTTGAAGAAACAAGCAGCAAGTGCATCAGAAACACAGAGGCATTAAAGGAATAGCTGAAAGGTAAACTGTGCTTAAACCTAGCATATTACAAGTGAATTTGGAGCGCTGAAAGGACAGCACAAATAGCAGGAGTATGGAATAGGCAGCCAGAGATGCAAGTACCTTTGCATCTCCATAGGAGGAGGACCATCATAGCAAGGAAGGCCACAGCTCCCAGGGAAACTCCAACTCTGTACATGATGATCTCTCTGAACCAATCCACTGGGCAGTGTGTCTTTGCTGTAGAAAATAATAGATAACAATGATGTTCTCAGGGCAGCCAGAGCACAGGGTTCTGATTTCAGGAACTCCAGTGTGAATCTGAAACCTCCCCCTGCCCCTGAAGGATTCAAAGCCCAATTCTGAACTTGGCACGCCCAAAGTTTCCCCAGGGGGTATCAATGGAATCAGAGTTGGGTCCTGATCTTGGATCCTGTCACTCTGGGTAAATCCAGAGTGACAACAGCTGAGCCAGGTTGACCTGGTGTAGTTGATGCTCCCTGTTGAAGCTTCCATGATGGGATGGTGTCAGGCTGGGATGCTCTTCTTGATCATAACAGCAGGCACCCTGGGTGTCCTGGCCTATGTGGAGTCATTTTGGAGACTCTCTCTGCTTTGCAATTATGAATATATATGTGTGTGTGTACAAGTGGGGCTGTGGTGGGAGACAGGGGTCTCTGGGGCTGTGTGCACCTGGGTACAGGTGTATGCTGTGTTCAGCTCTATGCACATCTCCCAGCGTGACTTCAATCTGTAGCCCTGAGCACAGGTCTTGAACAGTTGGGGAAACTTTCCAGATACATCCTGTATTTGCCTGAAAACTAGTTTTGGAGGCCACCAAATGCAGGCCTGGCCAGGCTGCAGTTCTGCAGAGAAGGACCTGGAGGTTCCAGTCGATCAGATGTCCATGTCCACTGTACTGCTTTAGCCCCCCACCCCCTCACTCAAGTATGCTGGATACCATGTACCAACCATTTCCCCCTCTCCCCCCCCACCCCAACACCCTGTTGTCTGTCTGTATTGGGGCAGATACAGGATTTGGTAAAGGTGGGTGTAGGGAGTGGCAACCTCTGCGGTAGTGGTAGTTCTGTCCCACCTCCAGCCACCCCCTGCCACCTCCCCCATACCCACTCCAGGGGGAATAGAGCAGGGGGAGGGGGGTTCAGTGGTGCACTTCTGGCTACAGCTGGAAACAAGACAATGTTCTTTGCAGACAGAGCGCACACAGCTCTCTACATTCAGTAGGCCTGTGTGAAGTGGCTAGTATTCACTTTGGATTTGGATTTGGCCAATTCAGGGGACAATGATTCAATTTGGTGATTCAAATCACTGTCCTAAATCGATTTGCCCGAATCTGATTTGGAAATTCAGCTTCTGCCAAATCAGCCTAATTTCTGAATCACACAGGCCCCATCCCCTGCCCAATCTGCCTGCCCTGCCTGCCCCAGCTCCTAGCATTTAAAAAAAACCAACCCATTCACCAGGTGCTGACAGGCAGGGGGCAATCCCACTGCCCCACGATGTGTGGGGGGCTCTGTCACAAGCCCCCTGACCCCCACCTGCTGTCCCACTCCCCCCTCCACCCATGGCTGCCCCATGGCTGAATTGATTCAGAGAGTTTTGAATTGACTCAGACCTTGTAATTGGTCCCTTTATTCAATTTCGATTTGGAGATTTGGCCATTGAATCAGGCCAAATCTCCTCCGAATCGAGTCAGCACCCAAAGCTTTGCATAGCCCTAACATTCATCCCATTTCAAACAGGCCAAGAGGCGTACATGCAAATCGAGGCAGGGTGGAGTTCAACCCCCCAACCCCACAACACACACACACACTTTGATTCTTGCTCCACCCAAACTTTGGGAGGGGCATTTCTATTCTGGCAGTGCTGAGAGACTCAATAGATGTCATAGATAATTATCATCTTCCTGGTTCTCGGTAATCATTCTTCACTCCACAGGTGTGAGCGCCCATCTCTTCTCTTTTTAGTGGCCTTGAGCTGCCACTCTTCAAAGCATTCTTTCTCCTGCACCTGTCTGTCACACATTCCTAGGAATGTCTTTCTTCCATTCTTCCTCCCTGCAGACTCTTTATCGCTCTAGATAAAACCAGCTAGATTCAGACGTGGTCCTGTTAACTCAGGTGTAGAAATAACTGAGAGTGGAGATCTGGAGGTACCATCACAGTGAAGGCCAGAGTGTGAATGAGCAATGTACCTCTAACTGGAATGACTTCAGGACAAACGACACAATATATTTGTACTATTTAGACTCTTTTTTGCTTAGTTTGTTGTGTTTTCTCTTTTAACTTTATAAACTATCGCCAATTATTGATAGGATTATATATAATGTAATGGAAATTCCATTGGTTGTTTTTGGTTTTGAAGACTAGTATTAAGCTGAATACTATAGTGCTAGTCCCCTAGCATATTAGTAAAGGAATCTAGGTGTCCTTTAACTGGAGAAAAATGTGTGTCATGTTCCACTGGATGATGTGCCACCCTGTGTGCAGCCACTGTTTCTAAATCCAAGATCCAGCCATGAATGATGCATCTGTTTATAGTCTCAGTGGTTACTACTGTTGGTTTCTGTCTGTATGGCTTAGATATCACAGAATCATAGAGGACTCGGGCTGGCAGGGACCTCCAAAGGTAGCTTCCTACAATCTCCTGTCCAAGGCAGGATCATCCATATCCAAACCATCCTATAGAAATCCATCACCTAAGCTCTTTGTAAAACTACCATCAGCCCTGACACCACACAAGACGTAACACCTGGACCTGCCACAGGGAAAGCAGGGGAGCCATGCTAGCCAATGTCCTACTCCTATATACATTTGCTAATATGTACTCAAGAGGGTCTTGGTAGAGGCTATGCTCCACCCACTACACAGGAAGGCAAACATCTCCCTTCTCCCACTCCGTTCTATACCAATCTGAATAGGGGGTAAAATGCCTTTCTGATCCCAAAGATTTAATCTGTCTGACCCTGAGCAGAGGGGCAAGACCCTCCAGCCAGGAACCTCTGGCTTTATGTTGGAGCCTGGCTCTGGGAGAGGTGAGGAACCTTTCCAGACAACAAGGTAGTTCGAAGCCTGCTGTTTTAGAGGCCATGAGATGCATTTGCAAATTTGATTTTAGGTCAGGACATTAAATTTGTAGGCATGAAGAAGGGGTTGGTTTCTACCCAGGATTTCTTGAGCCCTACTGGAGAGTCACATGGGGTTCAGAAGCTCAGGGAAGGAGATCGCTGCAAATATGTTCCTATATTGCCAAGCATCCTTCCAATTAAATGGGCTTCTTCAGATGGATTTGACTAGTGTTTAAATACTTCAAACTCAACAACAGCCCCAAACAAGGCGAGTATGACACACACATGGGTGGATCTAGGTTTTTGAACAAAAGAGGTGTATATGGTGTATATGGTATATGGCATCATCACATATAACACAACACATTTTATGCCAGTTCAAGAGAAACTGGATGCTTTGCTATTATGCTAGGGGAAGCAGCATTATATTATTCAGCTGCAGATCAAAGCAAGAAACTAATGTAACTATTGAAAGGTACACTGGTTTGCTAGATTATAACATTAAAAAAACACCTACCATTAGCCCTGACACCACACAAGACAAGTTACCCCTGGGGTAGGTTAGATTTCCCCTCTAGAGAATCCCAAGTTTCCATCTGACACCAGCAAGATAGATGAATGGAGGGAGGCCTGTTTCCTGCCTCCATGTGTCCAACCACCTTAGCTCCAGGCAGTGACCAGACATGAGACAGCCTTGAGACCAACATACCAGCTGGAAATGCCACCTCAAACCAACCAGGGACCCGTTCCATTGAAACCTGACAACAGCCACCCCTCCCCCACAACAAGGGTGAGTATGATGCACCTATTGATGAGTCTAGCATTTTGAAAAAGAAAGGTGTAAATTGTGTAGTACATCATATATATATATATCTCACAACACATACTTTGTTCCATTTCAAGGCAAACTAAATGCTTTTCTGTTATGCAAAGGAGTAGAAAGGGAGACAGCACTATATTTTTCAGATGAGGATCAAAGCCAGAAAACCAAAATAACTATTGAAAGGTTCACTGGTTTGATACTTTACATGCAAAGTTAAAAGAACACCACAACCAACTAGGCAAAAAATACTCAAAATAATCCAAAGATATGTGTCATTCACCCTGTCATCATTTCAGTTGAATGTATGTCATTTATTCAGATTCAGATGACAAAACCTAGTCTTCTCCCATGTCTTGACAGTCCCTCTGACACTTCACTGTCAATCATTTCTTTCCCTGAGTTCCCAGGACCATCACCAGGTGAAGGTATTTATTTAGACCAAGAATAAAACCAATCTGCAGGGCTGTGAATTAGAAGTGAGACATTGCCAAAAAAGACTGAGACAGAAACATTGCAGGAGCAAGAATACTTTGAGGAGTGGAAGATCAAGACCCTTCGAAAGGAGAGTGGGTTGTTCATACCTATGGAGTGGAGTGAAATAAGAAGGAATTTGGGGTAGGATAATGAGCCATGAAGTCTATGGACTCCCTCAGTGGCCTGGATGTAAATGCTGCTGCCCCATCAAAGGCATTTGATTTCAGTCCAGAAGCACTCAAAGCGGGCTGCAGCTGCATCAGTGCCCCCATCCTGGATCTGCCTCCTGACACATATTCCTGATTTAATCCCACTCACCGGTCTGACTCTTGTTCCTCCCCGTAACGCTCAGCATGGTGCCTTCTCCCAGCCCAATCTTCTCCCAATTTATTTGGACACAGCACTGGTAGAGGCTGGAGTCCCGCTCCTCCACAGCTGAGAGTATCAACGTGGCCTCCCCGAGTTTTTGCTGCTCCAGGTTGGACATCTGGATCCGCCCCTTGTAGAACGGGTGGTGAGGACTCAATGTGAAGTCCCCAGCAGCTCCCCAGAACCAGAGCACTTTTGCTCGCTCCATAGTATGGCTCTCAAAAGTGCATTTCAGGCTCACATTTTCCCCAGCCATCACATTGAGAGATTTTGGATCCTGAGAGACTCTAAAGCCATCTAGAAAATGAGAGAGGGACAAACGAAGTCACCCCCCCAGAAGACCTCATGGCAACAAAGTAGTGTGTTTGATAGGAGTCCCCCCCACAGCAATCCCCAGCTTTAATTACCCACCACTTCTGATTGAACAATAGCCTCCCTCTTCCCTTTCCAACACCTTGATCCATCCATTTCTGTCCACTCCACCTTTCCCCTTCTATTCCTAGTTGCTTCAGCTCCTCAGAGAGCCCCATCCCTCAATTTCTCTGTCTCTCTTCCTCTCCATCAAGGAAAGGCTGAAAGAACTGGAGAAGACAAGACTCAGGCTGATCCTGCCTTGAGTAGGGAGCTGGACTAAATGTGACTTTGGGACTTTCCTATTCTCCTGACTTTCCTATGATCTGACACTATACTGCGGGAACTACATGGCATAGCAGTAAAGGAAAGTCATTCTTCCCCTCTACTCAGCAATGGGAGGCCTCCCCTCAAATTCTACGTCTGGTTTTGGGGCCGGTGCCTAAAGAAGGATGTGGAGAGTTTAGAAAGAGTCCATTAGAGAGTGACGAAATGATCAGGGGCCTAGGCTGTAAGACTGATTGGGAAAGGCTGAAAGAACGAGGGTTATTTAATCTGGAGCAGAGAACGCTGAGTGGGGATTGCATAGCAATCTTCCAGTCTCTAAAGGGTGATGCTAGAGGGGATGGCGATAGGGTTTTCTCTGTGGCCATAAAGACAGGCTAGGAGCAATGGTCTCAAGCTGCAGTAGGAAACATTTAGGCTGACGGTGAGAAGGCACTGAAGAATGTCTTACTCTGCAGAGCAGCAGCAAACTTACCTCTTCTCTGGTTCTGGGTATTTCTGTTCATGGCCCGAGCTTTGCGGCACTCATCTTGGATTCCTGCACCAGCTTTGTTTGAGTGGAGGAGAAAAAAACACAGATTACCTAGTGAACTACATAATGAGAAAGGACAATCCAGCCAGAATGGGCACCCAGGTGGACCATTCTGGGCTGAAATGCAGTCTAGATAGGTCTGTCCATGTATTTCCAGGGCTCAGACTGCTTGAGAGCTGTGTGTAGAGAAACTGAATGGAGAGAAGGCAGTCTGTAAAGGAAGGGAGGGAGAGACATCTGAAGAGGAAGAGAGGATTGACAGATGAACCCATGGGCAGAGAAGACCAGAATGCCAAATGGGCAGATGGACACTGTTACAGGTGAGTGCTGGAAGGAATCAGCTGGCTCTAGATGGAGTTGGTAGACATGGTGTAAAAGAAGATGAACAGGAACTAGAGAAGAAAAATCTGGATGGGTGGGTGGGTAGTAGATGGGAAGTGTGGGATGGATGGAGGGCTGGGAGGGCCGTGTGAGAAGGGAAGGATGAATGAAATTGCTACAGAATCAAAATAAATGGATTATTTGAGCAGCAAAGAGAAGGACACTGCCAAGGCTAAGTTGGCTGGATGGTTTAGCTATCAAAGGGCGATGGGTGAAAGAGTAGGGGAGAGAGGGATGTAAAAGAAAAAGGACAGATTGGAGAGTAGGCAGAGTGGGTGGATAGATATGGAAGAGATGTGAATGGGTAGCGATAGAGGGTTGGATCCATGCGAAGATGAGCTGACTGTAGGCAGGGAGGGATGGTGAGCTTTAGGTGGGTGTAGCTGGGTCTGGAGGACAGTTGGGCAGTGCCCAGGGCAGTGGCAAAGCTTTCCCCACCTACCTGCTTCCCCAGGGAGTAGGAAAAGGGTGATGAGGAGAAGGGTAGAAACCAGTGCTGGCAGCAACTCCATGCTCCCCACTCTCTGAATGATGCTGCAGGGCTCCTCAGCTCGGCCTTGTCCTTCCCCGGAAGCATCACCCCCCTGGGGGAGGGCGCGAAAAGTTGTGTGGTTGGAGCCTCTGCGCTCACTTCAGAAACAGGCAATAGATGTGGCCGGACAAGGAGGAGGGACTGTGCATTCAAGCGTATAAAGGGTTTTTTATGTGTTTGCAGAGCTGTGGGGATGGCATCCATCAACATTCTGCCTGAGTTCACCTATGTGTCCCACCCCCAGACTCCCTACAGCTGAGAAGGACTCATGAGTTAGGATACTAGAGTGTAGGCGGGCATGGATGCATGGAAGGGCAGTTGGGGCAAATGGGGATAGATGGATGCATGAAAGGAAGGGGGTGAGGGATGCACAGATGGATGGAGTTTCTGGGGATGGATGTATGCATGCCAAGAGGAGTGTAGGAATGGGTGGGGGGGATGAAGGAAGTATATGGTGATGGAGGGATGGCAAGTTGGAGGGTTGTGCCATGTAGAGATGGCTGGAGGCTGGGGGCATGTTGACACCAAAGGAGAAGGCATGCCCCCCCCAACATGTTGCTCCTATCAAAGCTCACTTCATAGTTGATGGCTGCACCATCCACCTGGGCCTGTGCCTCTAACTTCCCCCTCTCTCTCTCCCTTATCCAGCAGCTTCCTGCCACACTCCCCACCAAGACAGGAGCCAACACCACCGTTGCCTGCTCCTGTGACATCCCCTTGCTATGTTCTTAAATTAAATAATACAGCCATAGCTCTCCAGCATATTAGTAATGCTCCTAGTTAATTTAACCAGTGGGGTCCCCCAAGGCTCTGTCCTTGGACCCATATTGTTCAACATCTTCATTAATGATGTGGTCACTGGAGTCAGAAGCGGACTGGCCAAGTTCGCCGATGACACCAAACTTTGGGGCAAAGCATCCACACCAGAAGACAGGCGGGTGATCCAGGCTGACCTGGACAGGCTCAGCAAGTGGGCGACGAGAATCTGATGGTGTTCAACGCCGATAAATGCAAGGTTCTCCACCTTGGGAAAAAAAACCCGCAGCATCCTTATAGGCTCGGCAGTGCTATGTTGGCTAGCACTATGGAAGAAAGAGACTTGGGGGTCATCATTGACCACAAGATGAACATGAGCCTGCAATGCGATGCGGCGGCTAGTAAAGCGACCAAAACACTGGCTTGCATCCATAGATTGAGAGAGTCCAGAGAAGAGCCATGCGCATGATCAGAGGTCAGGGAAGCAGACCCTACGATGACAGGCTGAGAGCCCTGGGGCTCTTTAGCCTGGAAAAGCGCAGGCTCAGGGGTGATCTGATGGCCACCTACAAGTTTATCAGGGGTGATCACCAGTATCTGGGGGAACGTTTGTTCACCAGAGCGCCCCAAGGGATGACGACTAGGTCAAACGGTCATAAACTACTACAAGACCGTTTCAGGCTGGACATAAGAATTTCTTTACTGTCCGAGCCCCCAAGGTCTGGAACAGCCTGCCACCGGAGGTGGTTCAAGCGCCTACATTGAACACCTTCAAGAGCAAACTGGATGCTTATCTTGCTGGGATCCTATGACCCCAGCTGACTTCCTGCCCTTTGGGGCAGCCCTCTTTTCAAAATCCTAATTTTGCCCATGCCCGAGTCAGTACCTTTCTCCCAATCTGCCCTCCACTGAGAATTTCTTCTGGTCACCAGTTGCTTCTGGCAGATCTGTTAATGGCTGTTGGTGAGAACAGATGGAGACATTTCCATTGGCAGAGAGATATCCAGATCAACATCCTCACTGTATAGCATCCGCTTCTGCCACCAAGGGAGCATGAATACAGCACTGGATGGACCACGGGTCTGAGCCAGCATGGATCTTCTTTTGTTCTTCTGTTCTTAAATGTACTATGGATAGACCATGGTGGCAAAGAGCATGACACACCGCCACCTTGGTTTCTTGGTTTACCACAGGCAGTTTGTGTAGCGACTCACCCTTAAGCAGAGCAACGTGGCTGCTTCTATGGTGTTGGAGTGTACAGCGATAAGATGGGGGCATGTTGGGGAGCTGCTTATGCCAAAAACTTCAGATCGAAATGTAGCAAGGAATTTGGAGATAATAGCATGACTTCCTCTTGCCCTCGGGATTGAAAATGCCCCTGCCCTATTCTCCACCCACTCATGATGCACCTCTGATTTCTGCTCACAGATAATTACCACCCATCTATCTGCCTCTAGCTTAACAGCAGCATTTGCCTCTCCTGAGAGTATATCCATCCTTGGGTCCTCAGTCCCTGTGTCTCCCTCTTCTTTCCCCGTGAGTGGCAAGAACACACTGACGTGTCTATGCATCCAGCCCTCATTCTCACAACTGTACATCATCCTTTGCTGTTCTTCATCCACCTTGTGATTTCTGCTACATATCTGTCCATCTGTCCATCCCCTCCTTTCCTCCCATTACCCATTCTTCTGTCTACCCCAGGGAAAGTTTAGCATGCAGGATGCTGGACCAGTCCAGAAGCTGTGATTTCCCTCATGACGACTATATCCATGATTTGCTCAGATAAACCTCTCTGTTCCCTGGCTCCAGGTCCAAGTTGTTGTGCCTGGAGCTTTGCAGCAGGCTGTGATTTTGACAGCTAATTCATTGAAGTAGTGGAGAGGGGTAGACAGGAAGAATTCTTCCATTGCATTCAGCCTGGGAAGGACTGCTCCAGCTCCCATGGCTATTCCAGGTTGGTTGTTATGGGAATTATTCAGTCCATTTCTCTCCATTCCCATATATCCTGTTGTCCATGTCCTGGAGATTTGTGTAGGGAGAGGATGAAAGGGGAAAGTTAGTGTGCAGTGGGTAGCAGAGATCTGTGGTTAAGAACAGTGGGGGAATGAGCACTCCATGGGGAGATGGGGAGGATGTCAGAGGGATGGAGAGGATGGAAGAAAGGAGGGGTGGATGAGATTGCCATGGAATATGGCATGTATAAGGCCCCCGGGTCCTTATTTTTCTCTCTCCCTTGGTACATACAGATATGCACACTCGCATATATTCCCTTGACTTCAGCACTTCACTTCCTCCTTCACTAGCATGCTATAAACCATCTCCATTCCCACCTCTTTACCCCACAGCCCAGCCCTCCCCCTCCCAGGATTGTCTACTGTCAATACATTTAATGACTGTCAGTAAAAAATCAGGCTAAAATGGCTGTCAGTAAAGTCAGGAAAAAACCTTTAACCATCAGTAAAAACACTTTGCTGCATCAACTGGGTGGAAACTCAGTGGCACAGTGGCACTGCCTGGTCTCTGAGTAGGAGTTCAGCACTTACAGTGTGAGCACTCTCTTAGCCACGTGCTGCTTCTGCTTATCTCAGGCTGCCTGTAATATTGGCAAATCACAGGGATGCTTGTTTCTGGGTCCTTGCCAGGATGATAGGAAATGGGCAAGCAGCAGTAAAACTGTGGGACAGGGGGACAACACGGTACAGTTGGGGACATCAGGCATTGTGGGGAGTGGCAGGCCCCTGGTGCAGGGTACAGGTGCAGCACCGTTTAATTCCATCATTGTGTTCAAGTAGGGTTACCGAAACAAGAATTTTTTTGTTTGTTTTACAGCAAACTTTTTATTTTTTTTACTATTGCTGACATATTAAACCCTTATATTTGACCCCAGCCCTTCTGAGTGGGACCTGTCAGCAGAGCCAGGGCCTCATCAAAGAGTTATATGAACATTATGTATCCATATACTTGTTAGAAAGAAAAAGTATCAGTAAAAAAGTAAAAACTTTGCAGATTGTCATTAAAATGAATTTTTGGGTTGCAACCCTGCTACCTACAGCCTCCCATCCCCACCCCCCATAATGAGTTCCTGGACGTGGGACCTTCTCTTTGGAGAAGATCATGCTCCCAGCTAACCCTGAAGTGGCAGAGGCCAGTTCCCAAATGCATATAAATACTGTAATGATTTCACAGAAACATATTTAGTATTTTATTTTTTTAAATGTTGATCGATTCAAATTTATAGACCATTTCTATATTTTAACCTTTTTGAAAAGTCACTGATTTCCACAGGCCCTGCTCTCTCAGTTTTG